TCTAAGGTGCCACAAGTACTCCTGTTCTTTTTGCGGATACAGACTAACACGGCTGCTACTCTGAACTCTATAGACTAACACTACCCATGAACCTGATATTCTAGGAATCAGTAGATGAGGAAGCAATAATGCAGGAACATTGCGAGTACAGGTGAGAGCATTTCCCTGGGTTTCTGTTCCTGTGTCTGGTGCCACAGTGGACCCTGGCAGCCATGAGGCACAATTACAGAAAAGTTCTTTTCAGCCCCTGCTGCCCCAGGCTGCAGCATACTCGGAACAGATGGAATCTTTAGAGAATTTAGTTGCCGAAGTCTAACAATTCTCTACTGAGCATGTGTGAATTCTGGTTTTTCTGAGACCTATAATTATGCCAAATTTGTTTTATGGGTACAAAAAAATGCACTTCCCTGACATGCGGGCAACACTTCCCCCTTCAGCAAATTTCATGTCCCTGCTCTAAACCATGGAGGTACTGAAGCTTCACACTGAAACAGTTGTAAGAATGTTTTTAATGAGGGGAAAACAACCTATATGTCCCTAATCTTGTTCTGAGAAATGGCTGAACTATTTTTGCTGTAAAGATCCAAAAAGAATCAACCTGAGGCAGACATGCAGTATGAGAAATTTCAGCCTAAAGTTTGGCGAAGTTATAAGCAACTGAAAAAAAGGTCTTATAATAGAAAGTGTTAGGCAGCCTTGCCTTGAAGCATCCCTACAATCTCCACATATAATAAGAGATTAAAAATGATAAGATAGAGAACAGTTCAGTGGGAATATTGTTGGGAAGAATTAATTTTCTTTTGTTACTTCCTTACTCCCATTTTTGTCTGCATCTTCAGTTTTGATTGTAAACTCTTTGAAGCAGAGACCAGTCATGCCTATGCTGTGTGAATAATAATAATAATCTATAAAAGGGAGGAAAAACATTGGAGAAAAAAATTTATTGGCGGTGTTTTCAACTGATTTAAAAATCAATGTAAAATCATTGGAAGCCCCTGGGGATTGTGAAGTCTTTGCTGCAAACTGCCTTCAACCAAAATGCTGTGTCTTTCATTTCTCTTTGTAATTGACACAGCTAAGGCAGGAGACACTCTTGAAAAGGAAACCGTGGAGACTGAGTTTAAAAAGTTTTTTCTCTTGATATTTTTGAAATATGTGAAAATAAAATATGCCCAAGAAAAAAGTAAACTACTGTAATTTAGAAAAGGCTATTTATTAAATGTTATACAAACACTTAATAAATCCTTAAACTATGAATAGTTTAACTAACTTTTTATAGTCTAGATTGTGCCCCCACATGGTTGCTTAAAGAGAAGGTGGGCACAAGATTAAAGGGAATCCCTCCTGGAGCTTCCACTGAGGTGGAGAGAGATCCTCACTGGCCCCAACTCAGAGCCGTGATTGGACCTTAAATTTGGCCACCTTCAGCCAAAATTATTTCCAGAGGTGTGGTAAATGCTCTGCCTCTGGCTAGTAGGTGATGTCAATATATCACTGCATAAGACTAGACAGAAAAACTAGCTATCTACATAAGAGTGAAGTGACTAAAGTGTTGTCAAACGCACACAAAAAACAAACAGAAAAGACAGAGCTGAAATAATACTTTCTCTAGCCTTTGTCATAATTATAAAGAAGTAATCTTAGATGTTACTTGTAACTGTAGTACATGAAAAGCATGTTCAGTCAAATGTAGTTTTAATGTTAATGAGATTCCTTTAATGTTTAGGCATCAGGAATGCTAAAAGCTTAACCATGTCAATGTATGTGCAATTTTCTGTAAAAAGGCCAACCAAGGATGCTGGCTTTGCTGTTGACTGACCTATTCCACAGACAGGTGTCATTTGGTGGAAGGCCAAAACAACACCTCCTCATTTGCCCGGGAGTTATATCCAGGAAGAGCAAATAAGTTGTCTGCCTACCACAACTCCCTTTCTTTGGTTTGATCCATTCCTTCTTTCCATACTGGGGCTATGCATCTTAGAAGGATTTAATCCAGCTCCAGGAGGTGGAGAGATGTACTGAAGACTCTGTAAAAGGGTTAATTTTCTATTTTGAAATAAACCTATTCACCATCCTCTGTTGCTAGAGAAGAGTTGGAGTAGGTTCTCCACCAATCTCTAGCAAAATGGAGTGGGGCCACCTGCCCTCAATCTCTTCAGAAGAAAGCATATAGGGACTTTTGGCCATCACTGACATATCAAGAGTCATATGGAAAAAAATTGTTTCATAGTTATATTATTTATACAAAATAAATGCTTCTGTTTAAAATTTGCTCCAAAAAAATTCTTCAGAGGAATAACTATTTATACCCACATATAGGGAATGTGGTGCTTCAGTAGTGAATATAATTTATGATGAGAATCAAAGATTTAAAAAAATAAAAAACAATAAATGTCAGTGATACAGAAAATAAATATTCTGGCCCCCACCAACTAAATTAATGCATCGGTGTAAGCTATAAATTACTGTCCATCTTCAGTTTGTGCTTGTCCAGACACAGGACAATCAGCTTCATACTTTTTTTTCAGGCCTTTCAAGAATATTCGCAAACTGTCTGGATCCAATCGAGAGTTCCTTGCAGTCTGAACCAGCCTTGTTGCTAGATGGTATACAGCCCTTTGTCTTAATGTCTCAGGAGTGGCTCTTTGCTTTTGCTGTTGTTAAAAATAAACACATACATTAAAATGTGAACACAGATATTCATTTATTGAAGTAGTAATGTTGGCTGTTTTCTGCCTGTCCCATATCTGAGTCTGCTGATATACCGTTTGCAGATTCTATCTAGGACCTTGTCTAGTACTTCATAATAGTAATGACAGAACTCTCTGTTGTCATTTGACAGTGATCTTCAGTAAAACCCATTAAAACTGCTCCCAAAAACATTTAGTTTCTTGACCTAACACCAGAATGAACTGAGAAATCCATTTGAAATCTATCCTACGAACAACAGCTTCTTAGTCTGTAAAATTCTGGTGAAAGGTTACAAAGGTTATATAAATAAATTACAGATTTATTTATTTTTCGCAACAGTTCATGAAATAAAGAAGCTTTTTGAAAATAAAATAAAATAAAATCCTTCTCTCCCTTTCTCGCAGTAATTTTATTAGCAAATTTATTAAAAGTAAAACTGATTTTCTTTAAAAATTCCCAATAACCAGTAACACAGTTGCCCTATATCATTAGATCTTATTTTTATGTGCCCTACTTATGTACCTCTGTAATATATCATTGAGCTACTTACATTTTTATCAAACAATAGACAATACATGAGAATATATTGAAGGTATGTGTTTTATAAGATTATAATTTGACTACTGCAAATTACTACTACATACCAAAATTTGTCTAGCAATATGAGTTGTGATCTCCTTTGCATCCAAAATTATTGATGGTGGTAGAGAAGAAACTTCTGCAGCTTTTAATCCTAAATATAAAAAAATATGAAGTAGTCTTTTACTGTCTGTGCCAGAGAGAATCCTTACCTTAATCAAAATGTCACTCTAAAATGAATTTTTTCAAAAAGAATTTTTATTTAATTCCCCTACAAGTTTCCTCTCCTCTGTATCTGAACTCAATAATTTTCCTAGCAGTATGACTGACTTATGAAGAGCTGGGATTAAATCAAGTTACTCAGGGTCTGTGATGATGCCTGTTCTAAAACATATACATTCTATGTATTCACAATAGCTATTATGACACAAGCTAACTGCTGATGTCACTAACTGCTCATGCTCAGATGCATCAGCTGTAATACTAGGGCTGTGAATAGGCAGCTCTTTTTCCATTACTGAAAGAGGGGCAAAGTCTACAGAGTAGGAAGAAGAATCCCTCACTAAGAGGATTGTAGAACAAAAGTTGGGAAGTGGGTTTAGCAGCCTTCACTTAAGTCTGATCCAATAGGGAAGAGAGAAGAGCTGGGTGTGGAACAAAAGTAGGGTTGCCACCTGTCTACATTTTCTCCGGTTCGTCCTTTCCTGAGATAATGTCCAGGAAATCTGTAAGGGTGATCACGCTGTCAGCCATACATTTTATGGGCTCAGGACATCATCTTGGACGTCCTGTTTTTTTGTACCTCAGAGGTGACAATCCTAGACCGAAGGAGCTTTACTCAGTGAGGAGAATGAGATGGAGAGCAGAATTTGAGTGGCCGGTTTCCAGGGTCAGTGAAAATGGTTGAGACTCTGTGTGTTCCAGTCTCTCACCTGATGAGCCATTTGTCTTTGGGAAGAGGGACAGAGTATCACTGATGCCTGTCCTGCTCCCAAGACTGTGATGTTTGATTCTTCCTCCATCCCTTAACTGGTCTAGGAGAACTTGAGGCCTAACCCAATCCAACAGCTGCTGAAAAGCTTCTCTTTTCAATAGCTGGGCTGCCTGCTTCTGCCTCCCCTGAAAGCTGAGAGGAAACAGCAAGGCTCCTAGGAGTCCTTAAATCCCCCAGTGATGCTGGCAGACCAGGTGCCTCAACTGAACACTACTCCTGAGGGCATTCTGCACCAAACAATTAAAAATTCTGCACAGTTTAAAATTCTGCAAGTTTTATTTGTCAATAAATAAATGCAGAGGCTACAGCATGGCAGTGGGGGCACAGGCCACCGGCTGTACGAAGGTGGGAGATCACCCTGCAGCCTCCCCACTCTCCGGGACTCAGTGGTGAGGCTGCACCCAACCCTGACACAGCACAAGGCCTGGGCCTGCCCCAGAAACACCCTGGGACCCTGCCCCTCTGCCCCAGGTGCGGGGCAGGCAGGCTCAACCAGGCAAGATCCAAGTGTGGAGGGACTCAGTGTGGGGAGGGATCCAGGTGTGGAGTGAGAGGATTCTGTGTGGGACAATCTGGGTGCAGGCAGCTCAGTTGGGGGTCTAGGTGTGAGGGGATCTGGATTCAAAGAGGCTCATTGGGGGGCTTCCATGTGCAGGCGCAATGGGACTCTGCACGGGCTTCCAGGTGAAAGTGGTTGGGGCTCAGCGGAGGGGTCTGGGTGTGGGGGTCTTAGCAGGGGGGTCTGGGTTCTGGAGTAGTGGGGCTTGGTGGGGTGGAGGTTTGGGTGGAGCTAGTTGGGGGCCAGTGGCATGGGAGTCTGGATGTGGGGACTCAGGCTCATGAGGATGGGAGTTTGAGTGCAGGAAACTCAGTGGGGGTAGTCTGGGTGCAGGAGTGGGAGGTCCAGAGGCAGGGGTTCTGGGTGCAGGGGGCCTCCAGATGCAGGGGTTGGGATGAGGTTCAGATATGAAGGACCAGGGGGATTCTGGGTGAGCGTCAGGCTTGGCAGGGGTGTCTGGGTATGGGAGGTCGGGTGGATGGGCGAGCAGCTCCCCGTACAGTGACCCCTTCCCCCCACCACAGCTGAGGAGCGATGGGGGCAGGAAGCAGGGGAGGATGCTGAGCTTCCTGCAGCTGGGGGAGGTTTCTGGGGTGGGTCTGACACAGTCTCACCCACTCCTTGCAGGGGAAGAGGAAGTCCCGTCCTCTCCTGCTTCCAGCCCAGCCGGGACTAGCAGCTGATCCGGCTCAGAGTAGAAGCCACTGGCTGGGGTGTCCCCAGCCCTGTGGTGATTTACCTCTCTGCCGGCTGCTCTGGGTGCCTGAAACAATGTACCTGCACAGCTAGGGAGTGGCATGTGACTGCTCTTCCCTGTCAGAAAGTCATTTTTCTGTGGGGAAGCAAAGAAATCTGCGGGGGACATGAATTCTTCCAGTCCTATAAATCTATGTATAATTCTTCAGAACTCATCTTGTAAAAAAATCCCCAAAACTGGCCTTGTGTTACCAATGTGAGGCAAATTAGCAGTAAAATTTTGATAAAGGCATAAAAGGAACATTTTATATTAAATTAATTCTAACTTTAACTCGAATAATTTATAGTCTTCAGCTATCTCAGACTTGTAAAAATTGTGTGTTGTGAGACAACTCCCTATTGATTAAACCAGCTAAATCAGAGATCCAACTACAAAATCTAGCATTTATACCAAGTCTACACTAGAAGCACCACATCAGCGCAGCTGCTCCACTGTAGTGTGTCTGGTGAAGACACACTATGCCGACAGGAGAGAGCTCTCCCATCAGCATAATTACTTCACCTTGGTGAGAGGTGGTAACTATGTTGGCAGGAGAGCGTCTCCCACTGATGTACTGCTGCCCACACCAGCACTTAGGTCAGTGTAACTTGCATTGCTCGGGGGGGGTGTCTTTTTTACATCCCTGAGTGACATAAGTTATATCAACATAAGGGGTAGTGTAGACCAGCCCTCAGAAACATTATGTGGATTCTTTTCACTCCCTGAAGGATTATGGGTCTATAAAGAAATGAATGGATGACAATGAGACATAAATAAAATATTTTAATCTGTTACACAGTCTGCTTCACTACAGTTTATATTAAATTTAAAGGATAAATGAACCCACTTTCCCAAGAACACAGTTTTGACATTTCAAAGGATAAAAAGCATCTCTCTGCATAAATAAACTGAGGAACACATCTATGAACATTAATGTGTCATTTTTAATAAAACTTCATTCATTTAGGATGAGCCAAATGGGTACAGCTTTTAGTTAACTTTTTTATATCATCCTATATGAGCAAATACAAAAGAGGCAGCTCTCAGATAAGTCTTGAATGTGCAGGCATCCATTTAAGACCATCTCACAGCACCCTGAATTGCTCCCATAATCAAACAGGAAATCAATGCAAAGCACTCAGTACAGCTATTATGTGCTTAGCATGACCCAACTCAGGTCATAGAATCCTAGAATATCAGGGTTGGAAGGGACCTCAGGAGGTCATCTAGTCCAGCCCCCTGCTCAAAGCAGGACCAATCCCCAACTAAATCATTCCAGCCAGGGCTTTGACAAGCCTGACCTTAAAAACTGTGTTCACAGGTCACTGTGTTCTCAACCAGTTGAAGATGCCAGGTGAAGTCTGAGAGCCGAAAGATCATTTTATTAGACAATTTTCATACTGTGGACACAAAATAACTACCTTATTACTCAACTATTAAAAATACAAAAATAAGTGGAACAGTATTTTAACCTGTTTATTTATTTAGCATGTGCACAGTCGTCTAGCCAAGCAATGGCATCTTCAGTGGCATGATGAAGTTCTTCTAGGCCACCGCTGAACTTGTAAAGGACAGTTACCTGTTCTGTAACTGGCGTTCTTCGAGATGTGTTGCTCAGGTGTATTCCACTATAGGTGTGCATGCTTGCCACGTGCATCAGTACCAGAAGTTTTTCCCTTAGCAGTACCCGTAGTGGGGGAGCACTGCTGCGACTCCTGGAGTGGCCCTGACATATTGCGCCATAAAGGGGGCTGCGTGCTCCCCCCACCATCAGTTCCTTCTTGCCAGACAACTCCGACAGTGGGGAAGGAGGGTGGGATGTGGAATACACCTGAGCAACCCATCTCGAAGAACGCCAGTAACGGAACAGGTAACTGTCCTTTCTTCTTCGAGTGATTGCTCATGTGTATTCCACTATAGGTGACTCCAAGCTAACCCTGATAGAGGCAGGTCGGAGTTTAAAGGTAAAGGTTTAAGGGTTACCCGGGCGGAGCACCGCCCTACCAAATCCGGCGTCATCCCTTGATTGGGAGACGATCGCATAGTGTGATGCAAAAGTATGGACAGAGGACCACGTAGCAGCCCTACCGATATCCTGAATGGGGACATGAGCCAGAAAGGCTGCAGATGAGAACTGGGACCTTGTCGAATGCGCCGTCACAATAGGAGGTGGGGGAACCCCTGCCAGGTCATAACAGGTGCGAATGCATGAGGTGATCCAGCGGGAGATCCACTGGAGGGACACCGGTTGCCCCCTCATACGCTCGGCCGAAGCAATGAAAAGCTGGGGGGACTTCCTAAATGGCCTGGTTCTTTCCAGGTAAAAGGCCAGCACTCTGCGCACGTCTAACATGTGCAGGCAGCGTTCCTCATAGGAGGAATGGGGCTTAGGGCAGAGGATCGAGAGGAAAATATCCTGATCCATGTGAAAAGCCGAGACCACCTTTGGCAAAAAAGCAGGGTGAGGGCGGAGCTGAACCTTATCCTTATGGAAGACCGTATACGGCGGTTCAGAAGTCAAAACCCTAAGCTCGGAGATCCAGTGGGCTGAGGTGATGGCCACCAGGAACGCCACCTTCCAGGAGAGGTGGGACCACGAGCAGGTGGCTAAAGGCTCAAAGGGAGGCCCTGTGAGGCGCGACAATACCAGGTTCAGATCCCAGGGAGGGACCGGGGGTCTAGCATAAGGGAACACCCTAACCAAACCCCGCAGAAACCTGGAAGTCATGTGGTGGGAGAACACTGACTGTCCCATCACTGGAGGGTGGAAGGCCGAGATGGCTGCCAGGTGCACCCTGTTAGAAGAGGGGGCTAGCCCCTGGGTCCACAGGGAGAGGAGGTAATCCAGAACCAAGTGGATAGAGG